AGACCCACAGCTGGAGGCGGCAGGGGTGGGGGTGTCACATCCGACCCTCCAACTGAGACAAGAGGTCCTTCCTGTTGGGGAGATGCCAAGGCGTCCCACAGCAGAGTCTGAGCAGCAGATGGACAGGCCCGCACCTAGCTGGGTTAAACAAGGAAGTTTAACAGGACAGCCTAGCCAGGCGGCTCCTGCTAGAATCAAGCAACACGCCTACCAGGAGCGGGGGCGAGAACACTGCCTTCACTGGTTGAGTTGATAACGAATTCCAGATGCAGTGTAACCGGGAGTGGGTGCAAGAACACAGCCTCCACTAGCTACCTGCTGAACGTAAAGAGTAGAGCAATGCTCCTATACGCCGAACACAGAGAGGGATGTAAATGTCCTACACCACGTTACCAGCAGAGAGAGCGGGAGCGAGCACTGCATTCACCTAGGTGGATTAGATAAGGACATTTAACAGGGCAGTTTAGCCAGGCAGCTGCTGCTAGAATGAAGCAGCGCATCTACCAGGAGCAGGGGAGAGAACACCGCGCTCACTGGTTGAGTTAATAACGAATGCCAGATGCAGCGTAGGCGGGAGCGGGGTGCGAGAACACAGCCTTCACCAGCTACCTGCTGAACGGAAAGAGTAGAGCAACGCTCCTACTCGCCGAACACAAAAGGGATGTAACTACACCCATGTTACCAGCAGAGGGAGCGGGAGCGAGAGCACTGCCTTCACCTAGCTGGAAAAAAAAGAAGTTTCAGCAGGACAGCCTATCCAGTCGGCTGCTGCTAGAATAAAGCATCACGTCTACCAGGAGTGGGGGTGAGAACACTGCTTTCGCTGGTTGAGTGACTGTGTACAGAGCCACCCCAATGAAGGTTAGGCTCTGAGAGGGGTTCAGACAACTCTTCTCCATGTTCACCATGAGGCCTAGCCGGGCGACATGAGAGAGAAGGAGAGCCGTGTCCTGGATCGTCTGTAAACGGGATGGTGCACAGATTAACCAGTCGTCTAAGGAGAGGGAGAGTCCGAATGGAACACCCTGAACTGGAAATGACGGCCTCTGAAGGCAAAGCGAAGAAACTGCCTGTAATGAGGCATAATAGGCACATGAAAATAAGCGTCCTTCAAGTCGACGGACGTGAACCATTCCCCCTGGCCACGGTACGAAGAACGTCCGCTGTGCTCAGCACATGGAAAGTTAAAATCTTTAGGAACTTGTTGAGTCCCCTCAGATCGAGGATTGGGCGAAGTCCACCGCCTTTCTTCCGTACCTGTGAGATGGGGTCCACAGGCTCGATTGCACCCTTGGCAAGGAGAACTGACAGCTCCTGGTTTAGGGCGATTTATTTTGCCAGGTCGCTTATGGTGGTCATCTTGACCCGGCTTAAGACTGGGGGCCAGCGTCGGAACTGAAGCTTGTACCCTTGGGTTAGGTGGAAACCACCCAGGGGTCTGAAGCTTGAGCTACCCGGTAGTTGAGCTGCTGCTGGGAGAGATAACCAACAGCCGGCCCCAGACCCTCAGTACCTTGCCCCCCGGCCTCTGGCTCTGGGGGGGGGGCGGTTAGGCACCGGATACCGAGGCTGCCTTGGGGGCGAGTTAACAGGACCGTAGCAGGCCAGCCCCCTCGTGGGGCGCTGAGGCCCATGGCGGGCACCGGGGTGAGCCGGTGGACGGAGAGTCCTACATGTCTCTGATAAGGGTGACTGTGTCAGCCAAACCTGGCGACGAGTCTGGACGAGAGTGGACATCAGGCGCCCAAGCACTCTAGACATCAGAGCGAACGCCTGTAATGAGGCGTCACTGAGGCTGGTAGAGGAAGCGCTAAGAGCATCCTGCTGCGGGGAAGCTGAGAGGGCGAGCATGAGGTGAGAGGGAATTGCCTATACGGCCCATGCGCGCCGCTGCATCGTAAGCCTTAGTGAGCAGGTCATCAGTGACCCGACATTGGAGTCGAGGGCACCTGGCCTCCGACCTCAGAGCTTCGTCAGGGGAAACTATGAGGGAAGCAATGGTAGGCTCAACAGCCGGCGTGTGGTCAAGTCCAACTCTTGCCGCATCCTGCATGGCTGCCAGGGCTCGGCCATCGGACGTAAGACTGTAAAGAGCCTTAGTGTCCTCCAGCATGCATGTAACTCCCTCAGATACTCACAAGAGGGAGGAACAGTAAAGGTTGCGAAGAGTGCGCCTAAAGAACACACTGGCAGGCGCTGTTTCGGGCTGCTGGGCATCCAGCTGCTGGTGAGCCAGTACCATGCGAATGACGGTACCCATGGAGCCGTCATCTGCCTCCTCCGAGGGACCATGAGCTGAGGTACAGGAGCCAGGCCCAGAAGCATGGGATGGGCTCTCCCCGTCATACTCATCAAATTGAGTGGCTGAAGCTGCCATTGAGAACACATCGTCATCTAGAACCAGCTCAGCCACGGGTGGGCAGCGGCGTGCTCTGCACGGGCAACAGAATGGAGAGCCAAGAGGAGTGACTTCATCTGGGCTAGCTCAGTAGTGAGTAGGTCCACCCTGGAGGACAGCCTATCAGGCTTAGTCCTCTTCTTGGGCGGTGCACCCGCAGCCTCTGCGGCCCAACGCCTAGGATGGGTAGGTTGGGCTGTGCAGAGTTGACTGTGCAGGGGGAAGGCCACCCTCAGTCAGTAGTTCAACCTCGGCTAGTCTAGCAGCTCCTACCGCACGAGGCATGATGGTGCAATTCATGCACAGGTCCTCCGAAAGGCCCTCCCTCAGATGCTCGAGGCCAAGACAAGAGGGGCAAAGGTCATGGCCATCCTCTGGTTAAAGAGGAGCCATACAGGTGTTAGAGCCGTTAGACCTAGCGATAGCAAGAGCACTCAGCTGACTGTCAATAACTGGGCCAGGAAACAAATATGCAGTGGAGGGGAGTGAGCACAATAGTAGTTAGCTTGAGCGTGAGCGCTCTGCTAACTGGGGTGAGAACAATGAAGTCAGTTTATGGTTTTATGCCGTGAGAGGAGAGCGAGAATACTCTCTCCACTAGCGCCGTAGCAAGTTAGCCTAAGCGAGAGCACTCTGCTAACTGAAGGATTGGAACGGGCATTAAACCAACTGTGTGCAGTGAGAGGGGAGCGGAAACACTCTCTTCACTAGCGCTGTAGCAAGTTAACTTTGAGCGACAGCACTCAGTTAACTGGAGGATGGAACAGGAACCAACTGTGAGCAGGGAGAGGGGAGCGGAAACACTCTCTTCACTAGCGCTGTAGCAAGTTAAAGTGGACCTATCATGCTATATTTGAATAATATAGTGTAGGACCATACCTATATAAGGCATATTTATACTCTTTATTTTTCAAAATACCAAACAGATCATGCTGATGGGCTGATTCTGTGAGAACAGCACCATCTACAGGCCTGGCATATGTACTACAGCGTCTCCAGCGCTTTCGAACGGCAATGTCCGTGGCTGTCTCCTCCTGATTGGTGGAGTTGGCCCAATAGACGTAGCACCACTTCTGTGACGTCACAGAAGTGTTCAAATCTGGATCAGTCTGTATCAGATCCGTTGCAGCCCCTTATTATGGGATTTGGGTATAGAGGAAAATAGAGAGGGTTGTGTTTTCTGACACTTGGTGAGTTCCCTGGAACACCGGGGACACATATTCATGTATAAAAGACGTACAAAAGTGCATTTTGCATGATAGGTCACCCTTAACTTTGAGCGAGAGCACTCAGTTAACTGGAGGATGTAACAGGAACCAACTGTGTGCAGGGAGAGGAGAGCGGAAACACTCTCTTCACTAGCGCTGTAGCAAGTTAACTTTGAGCTAGAGCACTCAGTTAACTGGAGGATGGAACAGGAACCAACTGTGTGCAGGGAGAGGGGAGCGGAAACACTCTCTTCACTAGCGCTGTAGCAAGTTAACTTTGAGCGAGAGCACTCAGTTAACTGAAGGGTGGAACAGGAACCAACTGTGTGCAGGAAGAGGAGAGCGGAAACACCCTCCACTAGCGCTGTAGCAAGTTAACTTTGAGCGAGAGCACTCAGTTAACTGGAGGATGGATGCACTTTATATGTCGTTGCCACTCCTTGCATATCATGTATTTTTTTTTTTTTTACCATGTTTGTAAAATGTAATTTCCTTAAATGTTTTATGTGAGGGAATGGAAAGTAGCTCAAAGCTAAATCTGGCACTGTTACGCTTGACATATTTAAATGTCTTAAGTGTTCATTACAGTGCATGTCCCTGTCAAATAAACGATTAAATAAAATAACCAATTGTGCGCCGTGAGAGGGGAGCGAAGACACTTTCCTCACTAGCGCTGTAGCAAGTTAGCTTTGAGCGAGAGCACTCAGCTAACTGGGGATAGGACAGGAACTAATTGTGAGCTGTGAGAGGGGAGCAAAGACACTCTCTTCACTAGCGCTGTAGCAAGTTAGCTTTGAGCGAGAGCACTCTGCTAACTGGGGATAGAACAGGAACTAATTGTGAGCTGTGAGAGGGGAGCGGAGACACTCTCTTCACTAGCGCTGTAGCAAGTTAGCTTTGAGCGAGAGCACTCTGCTAACTGGGGATAGAACAGGAACTAATTGTGAGCTGTGAGAGGGGAGCGAAGACACTCTCCTCACTAGCGCCGTAACAGTTAGCTTGAACGAAAACAATCAGCTAACTGGACAATAGAACAGGCAAGGAGCCAAATGTATATAGTGAGAGGGGGGCGGAGACGCTCCCTTCACTAGCGCCGTAACAGTTAGCTGGAACGAAAACACTCAGCTAACTGGACGATAAAAACAGGCAAGGAACCAAATGTATGTAGTGAGAGGGGGGCGGAGACGCTCCCTTCACTAGCGCCGTAACAGTTAGCTTGAACGAAAACACTCAGCTAACTGGACGATAGAACAGGCAAGGAACCACATGTATGTAGTGAGAGGGGGGCGGAGACGCTCCCTTCAATAGCGCAGTAACAAATTAGCGACAGCCCCCGGCTAACTTGTACACAGTTATCTCATTAGCTTGAGAATAGATAGCACAATCAGCGATAAATGGTAGCGATCTCACCGGCTGACGTGCAGGAGCGTCTGCTCTTTACCGGTCCGGAGCTCCTAGGGTCGAGAACACCGCAGTCCCCTCCCTTGGGAGGGCGGACAGCGAGCTCGTCGCAGCCTTTGGAGGGCGAGCGTTTTCCTAGCCCGCAGCTCCAATCGAGACGATCACAAGGCTAGAGGTAGCGATGAGCTAGAATCTTAATTTTCAATAAGCTAGCTTGGCTTCTACTCAAAAAGTAGTAACCTGCGCAGCGAGAAGATGAAAAAGGACTGAACTCGTTGACAACACCGGAACTTATGCCTTCCGGGGTCATACGAGGTCACACGTGACTTTGTTGATATAAATATTCGACCTACGCATGCGCAAGACGGAAGATATCCAGTGCTAAAGCACCGCCTCTGGCGGTCAGTAAGTATGAAATAGAACTTGCGCTGAGCTTCATTTAAATCTTGAAAAAAAAGATAAATAACACAAATTTAAATTGCCCCACAAATAATAAATAAACACATTAGCCATATTACCATAGGAAATGGGGACACAGCAAATAAATGCTGCCATCACAACGAAGTTAGAGGCCTTTGCATATTAAAACCATGCAGTGCCAAATATGTCAAATCTGTAACGTTTTTGTAAAACTACAGAAACAAACTCTCAATGGCCACCAATCTGCAGATCACACACATCCATTTTACACAAGATGTAACAAAGATGTTTACACTGCCGACAGTCATTATTTCAAACAGTATGAACACATTTAACGCAGAATGCTTGCTCATTTGTTTCCCTCGAACACGATGGTTGCCATCGTATGGTCAGATCCTGGGGTGGACCGGTCACTGATGAAGGCGATATTCATGTCCTTTTGAAGCACATTCAATAATAGGTTAGCGCATAGGAGATAATGAATTAGGTAATTGCATACTTTTTAAACTGTCACTCTTAGCGAATTCAGAGCCATTATTACCAGCTGCTAAAGCAACACTGGTATTGTTTTCACCTATTGAGTCTGCATGTGTGTGTCATCATGGCAATGTGGTCCTGAAGACACATAGAGGTGCTTTTGAGTACTTTGCCTAGTGTTTAAATGCATGTGGACAGATTTTGTCAATCACAACCGTGCAAGTTTTAGTGTATCTAGTGTATCAAGTTTTAGTGTATTCTTTTTTGCTGGTTCCATACATTATTTGAACTGGTTAAGTGAAGAGCAGAAGCCACTTTTCAAATGTTACACTATCCTTTTCCCATGCCATTGCTGTCAACACCTATCCATGCTGAACGTTGCTAAGATATTATGGATTGGGGTGTGGCCAAAAGTGCAATATGCTTCAAAATGTAACTGATAGAGAGCAGTGCTTTTGTCCTGTGCCCATGGATTTTATTTTATTTCAAGATTTTTAATTACGTGGCTAAACTCCTTGAAAAGGTCCTCTTCCTTTTCTCCAAGGTACACAACAAGGCAGCGGATGGCTATAGTTCTCTGCGTACTTCAATTGTATTGTGTTATTTTTGAAAAAGGAAAAAAAGAGAAATTACCTAAATGAATATATTCTGAATGGGTGACTGCCAACAACTTGCATTTCAATGACAACTCTAAATAACGATCCTACCTCAAGAAGCATGTCCTTGTATCTGCTTCAGCGAGATTCATTTTGAATAAAAAGCGATATCACAATAGTAACCAAAGTATTTGTACACTCACATTAGCCTCTACTACTTTGTATCCTCTCACAGAACTATTCACAGTTCAAAGGCTGCTAATTTTGGTCAAACAGCAATTTACCTATACAGTGCAACTACAAGGCTATCTACTGTATTTGAATGACAAAAGATGACACTCAACTTCAAATGTCCTTTGTATGTTTCTATTTGTCTTAACTGTCGGAACTTGTCCCGGCATGTTAAGTGGGAGTGGACTTGAAATCCTTAACTCAAGGTGTAGAACAATTAAGTTATCAAGCCAATTGCATTACTTACTACAACTTGAATTTAGTTTTAAGTCAATTAACGCAGAAATCAGAGTTCAAATTACACACAATATTAAGTTGATGTAATTACCAACATTATTACGTCAACACAACTTATAAATTAATGTTTGCAACTTAAAATGTTTATCTAAATCAATGAACTCACATTTTTATCTTGCAACCATGCATTTAATTAAGTGGAGGTGAAAGGTCGCCTGAATTCGTTTTTAGAGTGTAGTTACATCTTCACTGTCTTTCATATCTCTAATCACATGTGCTTATAATCCCAATATTTTGTCTTTGCTAATATCTTGTTTTATAATGTCTTGTTATTCACACACACCCTAATGGTCTCTGTGGTTGTGTCTCAGACATTGATGAGTGCAGCATCAGTAACGGGAGCTGTGAGCACGGCTGCATAAACACTCAGGGCGGCTACGATTGTGTGTGTCCACCCGGTCAGAAGCTCCACTGGAACAAGAAGGATTGTATCGGTAAGCACCAAGTGTGTGTGTGTATGTGGTGTGTGTGTGTCCACTTCTCTCCACACGAGGCGTGGTGGATTCCTCGCAGCAGACCTGAACACCAGTGTACGTGTGTGTGTGTCTGTGTGTGTGTGTGTGTGTGTGTGTGTGGTGTGTGTGTGTGTGTGTGTGTGTGGTGTGTGTGTGTGTGTGTGTGTGTGTGTGTGTGTGTGTGTGTGTGTGTGTGTGTGTGTGTGTGTGTGTGTGTGTTGTGTGTGTGTGTGTGTGTGTGTGTGTGTGTCCAGGTGTTTGTCATGGTGATTTGACTCTGTGTGTTCCTCAGAGGCGGTGAAGTGTCTGCCCAATGGGAAGCCAGTACCCCGAGCCCAGCTGACCTGCACCAAGAGCGGGGGGGCAGAGGTCTGCTCACTCTCCTGCCCCTCCAACGCCCTCTTCCTCGCAGGTACACACAAAAACACTTAGTTAAAGTCACACTTTTTCGAAAAAATTAATTATCTTTTTACCACTGGTGTTTTAAAGTGATGAGGTTTATCCAACACTTCCTAACAACAATGTATTGACACTTCAGGGCTGGAATGAAGGACTATTGGATTGAAAAACTGGGACACTGTTGCTCTGGTTGTCCTTGTCAGTTGTTTTTATTTGTATCAATTTAAACCAAATTCTTAAATTGGGACCTTGCTGTTAAGTTAAGGATGTTGATACTTTTTTATATGTTTTTTGATTTTTGTATTTTCCTTTTTTACAGTGGATACCAAAATTATTTACAACAAAACTAATAAATACATAAAATATACCATTTTGAAAATAGGACAAAAGAATTTATGTTGTGCTATTTTATCACTTGAAATTGTTCTTTTGTGTAGAGAGTGTGGCCAAGCTGATGTAATGAATGTACTGAAGGAGAGGAGACCAGGTTTTATTGAAGAGGATCATATTATCTAAGAAAGCTATGGATACTTTAAGAATGATTACAATTTGTGTCAGTTTTGTTATATCTGGAAGTGGTCTGGGTGGGAGATCACTTAGATAAAATAAAATGGGGAGAAAAAAAGGGGAAACTATTTCTTGATGGCATTTAAATAAAAAAGTTTACTCTACTCCTGTAAAAAAAAAAAGCCAGATGGTTTTAGCTGTCATGCTACACACGCTGCTTCCCTCTGGTGGTAACAGCTCGCTATCACAGCTCCTTGTACCTACTCTCCTGTCTGTGCCTCTGATGCTTAAAAAAAAGCACTAACGTCCTTTATTGCTGTACTTGTTGACTCCTCAGGGTGCTTCACTCAGACTGATGTGTTTCTTTTTCCATGTGCAAGCACTTTGGCTGGCAGCCCAGCGTCTCCTCCTCCTGCAATAGTACTTAACACACATCTGTAAATCGATTACATTCTTTGATCGCGCCTTTTTTTCCACAGCGAGCCCATTGCTTCGTTTAACTTGGCTGCCGTGGTGTGAGACTGATGGAGAGCTCTCAGGCATGAAGTGAAATATTTGTTTTCCTGTCTTTCTGGAGCAAAGTCTTAATTTCAGGGGGGGAGAGAGCCATGTAAATTCCTGTGGCTAAATGCAGCCCAGGCTCTTATTTAATCATCTCACTTTTATGACCTCCAAAAACTTCATCCCTCATTTCACACTTGAAATGCTTCTTGGTGCGCATCACGATCGAAAAACAGGGTTCGTAGATCTATCTCATGGGTTTTAATTTCTCAATAGAGGTTCAACAAGTTTCCTCTGGGCTGTTGTTTCTGAATACAGGAGCAGAGTAAGGTCCTACTGCGTTTATACAATTCTTCTTAATCCTCCGAGCTGTGAGTGGCCCAGCGCCGTGCCAAGTGAAACACACATGCCTCCATATCTTACAGATGTTTGATGGAGCAGATGACCCGGTCACGCAGTCCATCAGACGAAATGAAAACTCTCAGCCTCCCTTACCTCTCATCATCATATCTGATTCCTCTTTTCTCACTGTAGTCTAATGTGTGTGTGTGTGTGTCTGTCTGTCTGTCTGTCTGTCTGTGTGTGTGTGTGTGTGTGTGTGTGTGTGTGTGTGTGTGTGTGTGTGTGTGTGTGTGTGTGTGTGTGTGTGTGTGTGTGGTGTGTGTGTGTGTGTGTGTGTGTGTGTGTGTGTGTGTGTGTGTGTGTGTGTGTGTGTGTGTGTGTGTGTGTTTCTAACAGACTCAGAGAACAGCTACACACTGAGCTGTGGAGTGCCCGTCCAGCCTGTTAAAGCTCCTCCGAAGAGGAACACCACCAGTGCTTTACCCACCTGTGGCGGTACAGTAGGACTTTCTGTTACTATCAGTCAAAATATTACTTTTAGACTTTACACATCTGTTGTTTTTATAATAAATGGTGATTAGCAAATCTGAGTGTCTCTTCTGCTTATGAATAAAGACACGCTGTCCGCACCCATAAAGCAGAAGGCCAGGTTTAAGATCAAAGACGCCAAATGTCACCTGAGGCCCCGAAACAAGGAGAAACACAGAGACTCCTCCAGACAGAACCTACAAGGTAAACACATTGTACTGAGTTTAGCTTCATTTTACACACTACCCTTTTATTTGAAGTGAAATTGTAAAAAACTGCAGTTATTTTTGTGTTGATTAAAACATATTGCTCCTCCTCCTCCTCGTCTTTTTGACCTGGAAGGAGGCCAATTCCCTTGCACAGACGACTGCCAGGTAACATTTGTAAACCTCAAGTGCGACTCTTCTAAGAAGCGCAGACGAGGACGCAAATCTCCTTCCAAAGAGGTTTCCCATATCACAGCTGAGTTTGAGATGGAGATGAGAGAGGAAGAAGCATCAGGTATGTTCTTTCTTACATGATTTGTCTATATCAAATCAGTTTGAAAAATAACAATTGTTTGTAAAATATGGACAGTGTCAGGCTGTGTTTTTCAAAGAAACCTTTAGAATTCGTTTTTTGACCACCAAACCACTTTTTCCTCAGACTCTTGTAACGTGGAGTGTGTGCGGGAAAGGGTGAAGCAGAAGCTGCAGAGCGCCATGCGGACGCTCAGGAAGTCCATCAACAAACAGCAGTTCTACATCCAGTTCTCTGGGACGGAGTACGAGGTGGCCCAGAAACCGTCCAAGGTACTGGAGGGAGCCGAGCTCTGCAGCACGGGACACGTCCTCCGAGAGGGGAAGTGTGGTGAGTTCAGGGTCCTACTAGCAGGCTTGTGGAGAAACGGATTACATGTTACGGGTTTACGTTATCAGCATGCAAAAGAAAGGTAACTGTAGTCTCTTACATTTACGTAAAAGAAGGTAGGATCAGTTTACTGGTACATTTCTTTTAAAGGGGGATAACTAGCAGCATAACAATGTTACAATACAATTTAAAATACAGAACTGTGTATTTTAAAGTTCATGCTGATGCATTACAACACCTTTTTGAATTAGGTGAACAAAATGACTGTGTATACTTGAATTAGTTTGATAAAATAAAACAACAGGACAAAGTTCAAAACAAGCCACAAAAGTATTCTTCCAAAGTATTTGCCACTGTCTTCCTCCTCAGTGAGCTGTGGGCTCGGGACGTTCTACAGCGGGGAGCAGGAGCAGTGTGTGCAGTGTCTTCCCGGGACGTACCAGGACACGCTGGGTCAGCTATCCTGTGAGCCATGTCCCGGCATCGAAGGACAGGGCATCGCCGGGGCCAAGAACGTGTCTCAGTGTGGAGGTAACTCCCCATCCCATCATTGAAGCAGGGTTCTTACGGTCATTCAAAACCTGGAAAAGTCATGGAAATTCAAAATGCAAATTCCAGGCCCTGGAAAAGTTATGGAAAACAATATTTTTCCCAAAGTTTTGGAAAAGTCATGGAAATGTAACTAAAGTTGCATCAAATATAATTTATATTTTATCTAATCGCTGAAATAGTAATACTATAATGATATTAAATACTGTATCGTATAGTAATGAAACATAAAATGGCATTTAACTGTCGAGGTATTTTGCTGGTGAGAGATTTTAGTAGAAGCTAGAAAGCCTATTAGATTTGTTTTAGATAGACACAACATGTTTCAGACCTTATTTTCCTGTTCCATGTTAAAATAAACAATTTTCAGTGGTACCGCTGAGAAAGAGTAATTTTTTTGGTCATGGAAAATTAGGTAAAGGTCATGGAAAAGTCATGGAAAAGTCATTGAAAATCATGGGGTGAAAAAGTGTATGAACCCTGTTGAAGTCACTTCAATAATAATAATAATAATTCCTTACATTTATTATAGCGCTTTTCCAGATGCTCAAAGCGCTTTACAAATACACATTACACATATCATACATGCAATGGTCATGTACTGTGGACAATACCCACAGGAGCAAGTTCAGGTGAAGTGTCTTGCCCAAGGACACAACGGCTTTATAGACGCAGCAGCGGCAGGTTTCACCCCTTGATCTGATGATCATTGCACAGCGCACTGCGCCACACCGTCCATCTTCACGCCTCGAAGTCATCGAGGCACTTTTACAAGTACACATTGGTATTATACATGTACTGTGGACAATACCCACAGGAGCAAATCCGGGTGAAGTGTCTTGCCCAAGGACACAACGGCCTGACGCAGTGGCGACAGGAGCGGGTTTCGAACTGGAGTTCCCCAGCACTCCCCATTGATCTGATGATCGGATGCACAGACCACTGCGCCACCCGTCCCAAAACTTCAGAACACTTAGCTCTTGCATTCTACCTCCATTAGTAACAAAACAGTTGAAGTAGTAATCATACTATCATCACTCAACACTTTACTGTATTAGAGCATCTTAGATGTTTCTCCTGCCAACTCCCACTTTTATCCTTGTCATTGCTGAGAATCGCAATTCTAAATGTTTTTTGGGGTGTGGAGGTTGCGCTGAAGATGTCTTCTATGCTCTGGAAACATGTACCAACAAAATGCATGTATAAACATGTTGTGTTGGTACCATCTAGTGACCATTCATGATAAGGGAATCACAGCTACAGCAACAACGGAGCACCACAGACCATTGTCAGTGTATTTAATGTAGGGCTGCACAAGTAATCTAAATTCTATCAAAATTGCGATATTGATTAGTACAATATCAAAAAGGAAGAAACAAATAGGAAGCTGCAGAATTGGATTTTACAGACACAACACAATATATTTGTTTAGATGCACCTAAAAAGTCCCACCATGTTCATTTAGATATTTTGTAATGATGATGAGAATGATGCAAAAGGATCAATCCTTCCTATATAACTCAAAATACATTTAGCTTTTCTTGAAGTATCTGAGCTAAGAAAGATTACCAACTGATCTTAGATGGAGAAACACTTACATTTCATAGTGTAGAACCTCAAATAGCTTCTCAGTGAAGCTAGTGAAACAGTAAGAGAAAAAGTACAACAGGTGATTCTCTTGTGTCCTTCCCTCAGGTCAGTGTCCAGCGGGTCACTTCTCTCCTGACGGCTTTCGCCCATGCCTGTCCTGTCCGCTGGGCTCCTACCAGCCTGAAACGGGCCGAGTGCTCTGCTTCCCCTGTGGAGGAGGCATCCTGACCAAGTTTGAGGCATCAACGGCCTTCAGGGACTGTGAGGCCAAGGGTGAGTCTTTGTGTCAGACATATCTTTATGTATACTGTATGTATTTCCCTGCAACATCATTTAATCAGCACTGAGGCATTTCATTCAGTTGCCAAAAAGTATTTAAATGTATTGAGGGGGAGTATGATCATATACATGCTTTCATTGGGCCTCTTTAATTAAATGCCAGTTGAATCCTCTGCATGATGGCGTGACAGCACATCATTCTGATTGTTTTTGAATGTTTTAGCCTTGCTAGCTTCTCAACGAATGGCAAAACTATTCTGTTTGTCATTCTACCAATATGAACTGATGAAGTGCAGCCTCACAGAGACTGTAGATGAAAATGCGTGTTCAATATTCTATAGATTGCTTCACTTTCTCCTGTGTAATTGGAGCTTTTTATCTGCCACTTTACAAATATGTATGTGCATACTGACATTTGCAATGACACAAGCCATTTGTCAGCAGTTTCATTGTTACCGCTGTCATAAAGCCGCGTTCAGACGTGCATGAAATGGCAATTTGCAAATGTCGATGATAAAGTCGCCTATACAGGCTTTAGTGTTTTGTTTATGTGCCTGTTCTGTAATCTAGGCATGTTTAATATCACTGCTGGAGCATGTATCTTGTGGATCGTTTATCGTCAGACATTTTGTACGGTGTGTACTGACACTTCTGTTCCTCCTCAGTGCACTGTGCTCCTGGACATTACTACAACTCCAGCACCCACCGCTGTATCCGCTGCACAGGAGGCACCTACCAGAATGACTTTGGGCAGAACTACTGCATCACCTGCCCCGGGAACACCACCACGGACTTTGACGGCGCCACCAACGTCTCCCACTGCAAAAGTAACCCTGCTCGACCTATACATTTAAGCGTCCATTGAATATCTCACTGGTAACCTACATTTCAAAGTGTTTCTTTAATTTTGCCCTCAGACCAGGTGTGTGGAGGTGAACTGGGAGACTACACAGGCTTCATCGAGTCTCCTAACTACCCTGGAGATTACCCATCCAACGTGGACTGTGTGTGGACCATCAACCCCCCACACAAGAGGCGGATTCTCATCGTAGTACCAGAGATCTTCCTCCCCATCGAGGATGAGTGTGGAGACGTGCTGGTCATGAGAAAGAGTGGTAATAAAAAGATAGATTTATCATGTTTAAGAATAACACTAATGTTGCCGTCATGACACATAGACACACACAGAGTGTTCTTCTTCTGTGACAGAAAGGATTATGTTGTCACAGGTAGGATTTCAAAGTAATTTCAGACCCATTGACAAGAGACATCTCAACTTAAGATAGAGTACTATTCTAACATGGTTGCACCGTTCCTCCAGCCCTTCCCACCTCCATCACCACCTACGAGACGTGTCAGACCTATGAGCGGCCCATCGCCTTCACGTCTCGCTCTCGAAAGCTTTGGATTCAGTTTAAGTCCAACGAGGGAAACAGTGGCAAAGGGTTCCAAGTTCCCTACGTCACTTATGATGGTGAGTCTCCTTTACACAATCAATCTAATCTCACACAGTGATCCATCTGTCTTCAATCTATACACTATATTATTTATTTTGCCCTCCTCATTGTTCCAGAGGACTACCAGCAGCTGATAGAGGACATAGTGCGAGATGGCAGGCTCTACGCCTCTGAGAACCACCAGGAGATACTGAAGGTATTGAGCCAAACAGTCAATTACCAGTCTTTGATGAAAATACATCAAAATGAAGGTTGAAAAGGTCCTCTCCTCAAATCATTGGTGCAGCCGGATGACCCCAGGTGTCTGTGTGTTTTCTTCCCAGGATAAGAAGCTGATAAAGGCTCTGTTTGACGTGCTGGCCCACCCTCAGAACTACTTCAGGTACACGGCGCAGGAGTCCAAAGAGATGTTCCCGCGCTCCTTCATCAAGCTGCTGCGCTCCAAAGTCACCAGGTTCCTCAGGCCGTACAAATAGTCGGGATATCTCCAACGTCCTTTCAAAGGACCCCCCCCCCCCCCCCGCTTTCCTGATCCGCCCCTGCCCGTCATACAACGTAACATCCTCCTTTACTGTATTTACCCTGTTTGTTACATAATGCCTTTCCTCATGTTTGACTCCTTTAATAAGTAACACATTGACGCCCCTCCCTCAGTTTGTGCAGCTCTTTTTATAAGGTTTGACTGATATGGGTTTTTGCAGACCAGTAATAACATTTTTTTAACACAGAAGAAGCTGCCTGATAGAAATTGTGTGTATATATTGTTTCTTTAAATCCAACTATATTATACCAAACTTGTGAAAGCATTGAAGCATGTAAACATGTCACAGAAGAGGCACACAATACAAATATGAACCTGAAAATGCAACACAATCCCTTTCAATATTACATTATCAAGCTACATGTAATTCATTATTGTCACTAAAGAGACAAAATAATGAAAGCAGCTGAAAGGAAACCTGTTTATTAGGGGTTTCAATGACTATTACAGTATATAAATGTATCAATTAATTGTCTCATACTTGGCAAGAAAACACATTTCTCAAAATGTTGGACTATTCCTTTAAAATGTGTTTCAAACAGCTCTAAAACATTTTTAAAAAATCATATATATAATAAAATGATACTTCTTATGATTAGCATAGTGCAAGTATCAGGAAACCATTGTATCGGTCAAACCCTATTTCTGCACACCATATACTATTTCTTTTCTGCACCTTCATTAACGTTTTTCTTTTCACTATCTCCACCTCTCTCATTTTTATTTTGCTCTTGTTTTTTTCTGTGTTGTTGTGTTGTTTTTGTAATATTTATACTGAACTTGCAGAAGCCCACATCGCAGATTTACAACGCACATACAGATGTGTGAAATGTGTGGACATACACAGGTGAACATGCATGATGTGTAATTTGAATAGGATTCCTTTATTGACCCCTTTGTGCACGAGACAAATGTGTTTTCTATACGCACATTTTAACCATTTTTATGTGGGGAAATCTTAACCATTCCACCTTTAGTAGGTGCTTTATCCATTTAAGCACAGGGAAAGATTAAATGGGGTGAATCAGAAAGTCTATATTGTAAAAAAAAAAATAGAACATATGTAACAAGATGAGATAAACTACCTGTAAGTAACAGAGTGTTACTTTAGAGAGAAATGTATGTAATGTAACTAATATTTGGAACTTTAATTGCACTTGAATTTTATATTTTAAACTGTAGGAAAAAAAGATCTTAGTTACATTTTTTGTTACCTTTTTATGTATTGTTTTGAAATGTGCCGCATGTGGCGGTGAAGAGAGAGACGTCTGTGTCTCCTGTTATTGCCCCCGCACTCATAGCCCGTTCACACACACAAAGACAGTTAGATTCAAGCTTTAGCATCTCATAAATGTATGTAAACTAATGTGCACAGAGACAAACTCCACTTCAGTTTGTTTGTGTATTCACTGCCAGATCTAGCTTCATATCTCAAACATATCCTAAAGCTGTCAGAGAGAGGAAGCGTCAACATAGAAGCTTCTTGTATGATGGCACTACTTACATGCCTGTTACTTAAAAACGACTTTTATCCAGATGCGGTCTCTTTCCATTAAATAGGAAGTATAGTTTGTATACCTTTCTTTTATAACCCAACTAAATGTTTCTGTGTCATTCCGAATGGTACTAGTATGTCTATGAAATCCTATAACATGTATTGAAGATGGGCTTTATATCTGCACAATGCGACTGGAGGCGGGAAAAACATGTATGGTGTGACTGGAGTTTTGGAGGCGAATGTAGTGGCAGTCAGAATAAGAAACATCTCCTATCTGAGTGTCTGTGTGTTGTGTTGTTTATAAAGAAGCTGGCCTCCCTTGACGGATGATAAAAAATCAGATGAACATCCCCCTTTGACGTTCAAGCTCCTCGAGAAACACTTTGGATAACATTCCTGAAAAGAGTCTTTGTGCTGAGCATAAAGAAAGCGTAGTGATTATAAACATTTTAAAAATGATGCAAATTAAAAAAGGGACATGCGCAGCGTTTATTACAACTGCATGAACAAAACACGCAGATACAAAATGCAGCAAGAAGCTCAAGACTTGCATGGTTTTTGAAAGTGCAGCATGTTTCTCCTAATGGAAGTGTTTTGGGCCACCCTACTTTCTTTTGTTCATGCATACATAATACATACATAATACGTTGTTTCAGCAAACATGTTTTTTAGTATCTAAATTTAGATTTTCATAGCACACTGAAATAAAACAGAAGGAAGTCAATAAAAAAAATGCGTTCCTCAATCTTTAATCATGTTGTTTATTTGTTTTCAATGGACTGAAGCATGCACAACTACTAGTATGGTCCTGCATGGCACTGAGCTGGTCATAGTTAGGGCATTTCATTCCAAAACAAGATACTAAATGGAAATAACCAGTTAAACAAAAAGGGAAATATTTTTACCGGCATTGACTGATAACCACCCCCTTAAATACTCTTTCACTGAAACTCTGAATAGCTGCCATACAGATGATTTATGGTATGGCCTACTTCCTGTTTGTTTCACTGTTCAATATGAGTGTTATGAAAAAAATTACATGAAATACTCTAACATTTTAATTGAATTTTTTGTTTTCCTGAGAATGTATTCTATTGTGTGAGCGTGTGTATGTGTGTGTATGTGTGTGTGTGTGTGTGTGTGTGTGTGTGTGTGTGTGTGTGTGTGTGTGTGTGTGTGTGTGTGTGTGTGTGTGTGTGTGTGTGTGTGTGTGTGTGTGTGTGTGTGTGTGTGTGTGTGTGTGTGTGTGTGTGTGTGTGCTTGAGAGAGAGAGACTGATTCTGAGAATGTGTGTGATTATTTGTTCTGAGTGCCTGTGATAGGGAGAGTGCGTTTGTACTTTAGTCCAATGTGTAGAGGAATAATTGTAACGTTTGTGTTAGTCGGTTGTACCCAAAGAGAGAAATTGTAACGCAGTGTTGTGCCATTGTTTGGTCCATGAAACTCCAGTACTGAACAAATTAAATAAAACAGTAGCAGAAAACACACTCCGACTTTTTCTTTTGTCCCTGAATGTGGAACAGACACAGAGGAGCCCTCGGAGCGGCTCTTATCTGCTCATTATATCTCTTATCTTTCCTTAGATGTGGCTCTAAACCCGACTGGCCTAAAGTAGGCTTGTGGAAAATGTGTCTGACGCTGCTAATATTGCTCTTATCTTCAAGTGACACAATCTGTACAGGAGATCTGGATGCTACATCAGAAACACTCATCATCATCCACCCTGGCAGGATTTTCTCTCCCATTCACATTGTCTCTCTTTGTCTTAGAAGGAAATGGGAGTGAGATAACCTGTTTGAACTGCTGTCAGGTAATCTACACTCCTCCTGTGCATGTTCTAGGACTTGATGAATCTGCTGCTTGCTGTCTAGGTTGCCCATTTTGTCCCGTTCAAATAGCTGTAGGTAACTGTTGCTTTAGTGGAAAGCTTGTGAATCAAATCAGGTAACTGAATTGTGACCACAGACTCTACAAAGTGCACAAATTCTCCCATTCAAGAGTTTGTTCAGTCACTGTCAGGTGTCTCCGGTGAGGGGTCAGACACATTTGAGAACTCTAAAGGCATCGGTATGCTACAAACAAAGAAATTAGGATTGGCTGACTATCTAAGCAGTGGCATACCAATAAACAGTGTAGAGGCAGCACCCCACGAGCAAAAAGGGTTAATTTTTCAAGCTAATAAACTATTAGATATCTTATACGAGCAACAAGGCAATTTTCCCTTTTCAAGCCAATTAAATATAATGTCAGATGAAGTTATGTTAACAACAAATACTGGTACATTCAATGAAGTCTTTACAGCCACATGTATGGAGTCCTAACCATGCAAAACACACAAGATACACAATAACAAACAAGCCTTGTAACAAGACCAGATATCAGTATACAGATACAGCTAGCCGTAGAAGTAATAAAATACATGACTTGTTATTGAAACAAATCCTTTTTTGTGTACTTGGATCCAAGAGATCCAAATCTGACACACCAAACAGGTGAATGCTAGTTCAGCTAACATGCTAAATGCTACTTCATGTGTTCAAGATGGACCCTGCGGCGTCAATTCTGAATTAACTGGGGAACTTTTAAATTTCCTGAGTTGTGTGTGACTGGTTATAGTTGTGAAAGAGAGGTAGAGGACCCAGATTAAACTCTAGATACACGGGAGTATTGTTGCTCCCTTGATCTTCCTAGTCTTCCTGCAATCCAAAAATCAGCATACTAGAAAATATCAGGCAGAGTTTTTCTCCGTAAGAAGCAGCCATAATATTGCTGTTGTTACAGTACCTGTGAAGTATAAAATAAATTGCTTCCACAGAGCGAGATAATCCATCACAGTGTGACACCATCATTTGGTTTGATCAGAGTTTGTGTTTGAGTGTTTTCTCATTGTCCCTGAACTGAGTGTTTTCACATCCCTGCTGCTCTCCTCCCTGTCAATCAGCTGACACCATGCAGCACAGAGGAAGTTTGCTCCAGGAAATAAACATGTCACCTTACAAACTTTACAGATGCATCCATGTCCTCTTCTTTGTTGTGTCTCTTCTCAGAACAGCCTTTCAATTAATATTCACTTGGCTTTTAAGTACATCCGTAAAAGAATATCATAAGCCTTGATTACAGATGAATCCGTTTCTTTATCCATATGTGAATGGCCTTTGGTAACTGAGTGACAGTGGCAGTCTTCTTAAATGATGGGGTTCAAAGCCTGTTTAAAATACTACAATACTAAAAGTCTTGAGCTGCTTCACAATTTGTGCTGGTCATTAATCAGACTTGACAGGCCGATCGGATGTTTCCTTGTGTTATTTCCAGGGTGTCCAATCAGTATCCGGCATCAGCAGGCAAATGCTACTGTGCCAGATGCTGAGATTACTCTCCCTTTTGCTTCCTTGTTGCCTTTCTATCAGTCGCTCTGCTCAAAGTTCACTGGATATGAAATGATAAAGACAACACATGGGCCGATTGAGTGACCGAAATGTGACAGAACCAATGTTTCTTGAAAGTTCTTGGAAAATGTCAAACTAACCTTTCAGGCCGAAGAGCTGTGGAATAACTCGTCATCACATGAAGAATGGGTGAAATGTGTAAACCTTACCATCCCAGCAGGTGCTGTACAACAGTAGAAAGAGGAGAGTGATTGGTGTTCCAGTCAATTGTAGTTATTTGAGAAATGGACCACATATGACCAGCAGATGGCGAACTCACTCCAACCTGACACTGTAAACTTCCTCCCTGATTTATTGATGCATAAATTGAGCTCCAGATTGTGTTCTATTTGTTTAGCTCATTACCAGCCTAAATCCCACTGCTATTACCTGTGGATGAACAGGAACAGACGATGCAGAGCTATAATGCTGTAATTTCACTGATCATCCCAACACTAATGTGGGAAGTTGCAAAAGTTCAAATAGGGTTTACTGATAAAAAAAACTATATTTTGTAATGTTTGGTTTGATTATAAAACAAAAGATCCTGCCAAAACCCGAGTAACAGTAATATTGCTGAAGATAGATAGACGATAGAAGCTTACCTTAATATTTAATTGAATACAATTATTGTACTTCAATTTATTTTTTATAAAGTGTTATAGCCATTGATAATTCCATTTCACTGCAATTAAGAGGGAAATAATGTAATTTTAAAGCCACATAATTAATATAATATAGTTATAAAAGTTCCTTTCCAGATCGAGATTTTACATTAAAAAACAATTGTGTTTTTGTATGTGTCTAGTTGAGGCTCCTTCTCATGTTTCAGATGTCTTGTTCTTACTAGTTCCACCAATGAGACATGTCCCTTTTCATAGACATAGATTAATGTGCCCAATGCGTGTACTTGAAAAATGTAGGCTAAAGTATTTTACCTGCTAAAATCAACCTTCTACTCCAGGAATAATTTGCAACCTAACCCTAAATTGGCAATTGCCTAAAAAAATCGGCAAAAAGCTTGTGGCTCATGTAGAGGCTCAGTCCTGTGGAGGACCGGGATTTGAACCTGACCTGGGGACCATTTATGCATGCCATCAGCTCTGTCTGAACATATATTCGCTCAGTATAACATCATGAAGACTAAAATGTTACAGCCAAATAACCACATGTTTGCTCAGTGTGCTGGGGGAATAATGGACCCATGCCCTCAGTGTGTATAAACTCCTGTTCCCGGCCCTGGTGGCCCCGGAGAGCCTCTAACCACCAGCGGCATCTCTGTGGATGTGTGACCGGAGGGGGTGAGCTCTGTGTGGCTGCGCAGAAGCTCTCGGTCCTCCCCCCTTTGTATGCTCCTCCTTGTACCGATCACCGGGAAACACGGTGAATGAGAGAGAGAGAGAGAGCCAGAGAGAGAGAGGGGGCTGTATCTCCACCACGCACTACACCGGTGCACCACGGGGTTCGCATTCAAACTGACCAGCGGGTCTCTGCGCGCACACCGTCCTCTGCATCCATCACCGAGCAGCAGCTGAACCGGAGCCGGTAGGTTGATTCCTTCTCATTTTCCTCCTGGTGCATTTGTGCAGATGTGTCTTTTTATGCATGCCACACCGCAGTACTTGAACCCCAAAACATTGCTGCGTATTTCCAGGTTAATCTAAGCTGGGCAACCTGATGAATGTGTGTTTTTCTCACATGGTCCATGAGTAACCTGCATTTTAATAATGGCATGCGTTCCATGTATTGCACTTTAAAGCATGGAACGCTTTTATGTTGGATCCGATTTCAGAAGCATCCAAAGGACAAAGTCTCCAAGGCTCACCAGAGCCCCAAACATCCCACATGTCAGAGAAAAAGGTAGTCAGGGCAGCCTGTGTGACCAAACTTTTATTATAGTTCACTGCAGCCATGCAACACATTAAGAGGAGAGGGACACTTCTTCACAATGTGCTTTAAGCTGACCAGTCACTGAAGGCTAAAATATCCTATTAAATGTATGTTAAGGTTTGGAAAATGTGCATTTCCAGTCAATATGTGTCAGTGAATAACATTTGGTTAGATGAAAAGGAGGAAAGTCAATTATGAGATGTAATGGTTCAGAGAAAAATGCCTTTGTTGAATCTGTCTTGTATTTTTTTGTATCTATAAGATGTTCCTCATAATTTCTGAACTCATGATTCACAGACTTAAGGCTTCACATCATACCAGAACACCATTAAGACCAGGAGGCTTTACATAAAACAGATACTCTGTCACGGGCTCCGTATGACGGCCGTTTGTTAAATATGAGAATGTGCCTGAGAGGAGAGAGCATCAATCAGACAGTCTCTCCGGTTTCTGCATTTATCATCCGAGCTCTGCAAACATGCTGAACTGTAGAGGAATCTCTCTTCTCTTCTAAATTGTCTTCTGGCCACTGAAGGAAAAGATGTAACGTTTAGATAATTCAATAAATAAGTGTTATTCAAATCCAGTTGACAATTTCATATATATATTTATTTTATGCTGCCTTTTTGCCTTCATCTTGACAGGGTTTGATTCCCCACATGGACTCGCAGACCTGCTGTCATGTTGATGTTACAATGCAAACATCACATTTAATACGCGTGAATTAATACAAATGCATCTTAAATAAAAAATGTACATTTTTATTTAGAGCCTGAATTAAAAAGTCTTTATATAAATAACTATGCTGAATCTGATGCACCTTAAACTGCAATTAATTCATTTGTTTCCACTTTATCTGTGTTATTTCTACAAATAAAGTGCATGAGCAGGTTCTTTGCACAGTTTTGTCTTTTAACATTCCAAAGAAAATCATAAAATGGTACGATGTGCTCTGTCTATATCAGTTGACATTGTTGTATTACCTTACTTTATAAATCCTGATCTACACTGGAAACTAAATGCTGGAATTACTGTGTTAATATACAAAATGAGCACAAACAGATACAAAAAACTGCTGAAGGATTTGCACAATGTCCACAACTATACAGAGAAACTTCTAAGAGAATTAAAAGAACAAAAACAGACGAGGATCTGCTGTAAAAAAAAAAGACTCCGAGCAGGGATGCAACATGATCAGAAGGAGACATTAAAATATTAAAAAGACGAGTTAAAATGACCACATAGATGCAAAACAAATACAGGGAGACAACACAGATATGCTAAATGCCCCTTAGGAGTAGAAGAACAACCACAAATAGACACAAAAAGACCAAATAGGACACAGCATGACCACAAAAGATGCAAAATGACGGAGAGACACCATCAAATCTCGGTCTCATTTACAGGAGGGCTAATGTTCCAGAGAGGGCAGTTTGAGGTTGGTGTAGATATTAAAAGAATAATTACCTCTATGTCAGGATACGGATTTTAGCAATAGAGTTTTTACTTTGGCCAGAGTAAGTATGGGATTGAGAGTGGACTAATGTTTGTGAGTGGAATACGTACTTGTCCTGTGAAGCCTGGATGATCCAGAAAACAAGCAATTTGGCCAAATGTGTTATAATCTCACAGCATCTGCTAATGCATCTTTCTGTCTCTCACTGGCAGTGTGGGAGGCTGTCACTGTCACACACATGACAACAGAAACACATTTTAATATGCATGCACAGGCCCACATACACATCAACCTGCACGCACAGAGCACACTCATGTAATGTATGCAGTCCTGAAACACATCCACCGAGCATGCTGGGATTTGCCCGTGACAAACAGGCGCAGTGTGAAGTGTGTATCTGTCACGTCGGTGTGCTGTCAGCGTGTGAGGTTGCAGTGAATGAGGAATGGAAATGGCACGCCGACATGGCATGGCGGTCCCGGCAGGCTTTGCCAAAGCAGCCTGTCCCCAAATTATCACCTCCGTCTCCAGCATCCCCGTCATCTCAGCAGCTCTCAGCGGTCGCCAGAGCTCCGAAAATGAGCTGCACTGAGGAAATCCATTCTTAATGGGCGACACACGTGTGCAGGCCTCACACACAGTGACAGGGATTTAAAAGATTCTATCACTGCAGTATATTATTTCATATTATCTAATAATGAAAAGAACATGTAAAAGTAACTTTGAAGGAGCAGAAATAAAGGACATTTCTAAATATAAAATCATCCAAGCTCTTGAACTTCAATTTGCAGCCTGACTAAGATTCTGCATAACATCCATTTTTCATTTAGCCTCCTATTCAAGGTGAAAATGTTGCGCTCAGGCGGCTTGTGAGGCTCTGTTGGATTTGAATATCAGATTTAAGTTTATAGATAATCTTGGACTAGAGTAGCTGCAGGGGATGCAGAATGCAGCGTTCACACCACAGTGCTGTCATTTACCAGCATGCACCTCCACACTCAAATCTAGTAAAAAGTAAAGAATGCTTTGGACTTTTTTTCCTTCTGTATTTTCTGTCAGGCTTGAACAATGGTAATTCCCAGGTTGTTGTTTGTTCTTAGAAAAAACGATGGATCTTCTTTTAATCATAAACATCTTGTTATATCATCTGATATTTTGATAATCAGTTTAATTTATTTGACTAACCAAGCAGTGAGGGAACAAGGGCACAAGTTGTTAAATGAAAACAGGGGTTTTTTTACCCAAAAATTACAAAAATACATTTTAACCAATAATCTTAATAACTGGACCTTTAAAAGAGCTCAACAAAAAATAACTCTTATCATAACAGCAACTTAAAAATATGTTGACTGAACAAACTGAACTGCCACAATGGCACTTGAGGGGACATGTAGTGGCTTGGCCGAACTAAGTAGCAGACGAGGGGTAACTAAGGTGGACACACTATACGAAGCAAACACATTAGTCCCAATTACCCCCTTGACATGGCAGCACATGGTTTGGCCCAATTGGCTCCAGGATTTAAAAGTCCTCATTCCTCAGCCACGCCTTTTGCTCCACCAGGAAGTAACCTTCGTCAACAAGCACGGTAACTCAAAGACAAACAAATAATAATTGATATACCAAACAAATACTTGTGTTAACCTTACAGGGCTTGGATGTTTGCACATAAACTAAGAAATTTAGGTTGAAATGCTAGTAAACTCAATTTAAACCAACTTTGTGGTGTTTATTGCTGGTGTGGTTGGCTGCAACAGAACCTCCGATGTTAAAAAAAATTGATGGCGCCAAACCAAGATGATTTACAGACATTTTGGAACCCGTCATCTTTAAAAATCTTTTTTGTGTAGCCAATAGGCCTACATTGTCATGAAATTGTGAAACATGCCCATCACAAGTTGGCAGTGGAAGTTGTGACATCAGCAGCTGAAACCATAAACTATATTAAATGATAAACTCTATAAAACAAGTACAAAATATGACCTCATCATATTTAATCCTGTACCCTGACTTGATGGATGACTGTGAAATGAATTGTTTTAGTTTTCACATTTCTGCTTGTTTTTACCACTGTCCATCCTAATCACACCCTCTTCATCACAGCTCTGTTGTGTCCTACTCAGGTGGCGAGCAGCTGCGGGAAGAAGAAGAATAATTTCTCCTCAGCACATTGTGACTCAGCGAGGGTTTGAACCTGGACTACCTGCCCACAATTCTCAAGCCAAACTGATCCTCCCAGCCTCCCACCTCGCTGCCCTCCACCTTCTCTGATCTGGTCCCAGTGCCATGGCCTTTACCCTGTCAGAGATAATGGCAGCCAGACGGCAGCAGACGCAGGCTCAGTTGCAGGCCCAGCGAGGCAACAGGACTGCAGTGGAAGTAGACGAATACAGCACCAACCCCACTCAGGCCTTCACCTTCTACAACATCAACCAGGGACGCTTCCAGCCGCCACAAGTCCACATGTGAGTAGAGACATCGGTCACATGACCATTTTACTGATCATCCTGGAGGAAGTTACTTTATTTCCTGTTTTACTTTTGATTCACTTTCCTTGTTTCTGAACTGAAATTAATATGATCCATCAATGGAGAAGTCAATGTTTAAGGTAATGAGCTTTTTGTGTCTCCTTCCTAAAGAGATAAGAGGGAATTAATATCAGTCTGCGTGTTAGTTGTTAGCCTAGCCTAGCATAAAGTCCTGCTCCCGGTCTTTTTGCTTTATGATAGACAGCTAACCTGGCTCTGTCCAAAGTGAAAAAACACACCTACCAGCACCTCTATTGCTCATACACTAACACATTTAATATGTTTTATTTTATTTAAAGGTCCCATTTCATGGCCATTTCTACTGATCATAATTCCATTGTTGAGGTCTACTAGAATAGATTTATATTGTGCAATTTTCCAAAATCATATTGGTTTCTCAAAGAGCATCTCTGTATATAGTATGTATATTCACTCTGTCCTAAACGGCTTGTTGGAGCTCCTGCCCCCCCCCCCCCCCCCCCCCCCCCATCCTGTGAGCCCACTGTGCTCTGATTGGTCAGCTCGCCCACTCTGTTCTGATGAGTCCACCACCATTACAGCGGAACATCAGTGATTATGTGTTACAATGGCGTTAGCAACCAGAAAATGACAAACAGATGAGAATGCTGCGTGGGGTCTGGGTGCCGTGTTGGCGGGACGTTGTGCGGCTCGCTGCTGTGAGGAGCGGACAGTGGGAGCTGGGTTCATTTCCTGGTTGGAGACAGCGAGACATCGCGAATGGACGCGGGAAAGGGGGGGTGCTGCTGAGGGGGCTGCAGCACCCCCATCTGCGAGGCTCCACTAGCCTTGCAAAAGCTACATAACACACAATGGGACGGGTAATAAACGGAAAAGCATGACAGGGGACCTTTAAACACAAACAGAAAAATAAAAATGGCAATTTTTGGTTGAAAGTTCATGGATGTTCTGTTTATGTTTAAGGCAGGCATTGAGTTGTATTCTTTATCATATTTTAGTGAGACACTCCCCGCTTCTGCTTATTTTTCTCTTAATTTGCTGTGCCTGCCGTTTGCTGTTTTTGCAAACTCAACACATCCTCTGAGTTAACCTGCTGTTTTATAAATTCAGCAATTTGCACTATTACCAAAGACCCAAAAAGAGGCATGTCATACTCATCACTCTGCTGCTCTTGAGCTAAACTAAAACGCTGTTCTCAGTTGCTTATGAATCTCTGCAGATTCTGCTTTGCTGTTTTAGCGATTTGTGTTGTTAGTGTTGATAGAGCAATTCCTGTAGAAGTTTCACATTAAAAGCTGACTTGAAGGAAACAGAGCATTTGAGCTGTTGGACGGCTTGTAGCTAAATATCTAGCCTGCATGGATAACAAAGGCTGGTCACTGTATCAGTATGGCTGATGGTTTAGGGCTTTTATTAGTCAAAGGAAGGCTTTTAATGTGATACATTTGAGCAGAAAGCTTAAACGGCAATATAAAAGCAACTGGAATTTATTTGTGAGTCTTTGGAATAAAATAACTCAGAGGGAATTACTTCTGTTGAACTGATGGATTAAGTACCCCGACCCCCCCCCCCCCCCCCCCCCCCCCCCCCCCCCCCACAGACATACAGAGCTTCTCATTTTAGTAACTGTAGAAATGATTCGTCCTTAAAAGTTGTTTACCTGTTGGCCTTCTCCGACATTCAAAAGTTCAGCTTGAGTTCTGACTTAAGTTCAGTGTAGTTTATACAACCAGAAAACCTGCCTTTTTAAACAGTTACTTGCAAAGAAAGAGAATTTCTCAGCGGGGCTCCATTAAGCAGCACTTAACATTTCCTTATTCTGGTACAATGGTGGAACTAAAACATCTTCCATGAACCTCCTCATCTGTATTTCATAACTTTGTGACTCACACTTCAGACGAGCTGTGCTACATGGCTGCATATCTCCTTTGCCTCTTCCACTCGTCTCCGTCTCTCTTGTGGTGGGGGCGCAGACGAGGAAGAAGGAGGAGGAGGCAGGGCTGGGTTTTATCGTACCTGGAGGAGAGCTCACTAAAGTGGGCCACGGTTATTCACCAGCTCCCCTCTTCCCTCTGGAGACCCTGTAGATCTGCACGCTGGCTGTGAATCCCACAGGACTCTGCTCTTTTCCTATATCTGTGCTTTATTCTTTTTCTATCTCTGCACATTTCTCTTTCTGTCTCTCTCAGCGCCAGGCTTTTATTGTGGCCTCTCGCTTCTCGCTACGTCTCATGTTTCCTCCTCTGCCTCAGTCTGTGGGGATGATTTTCTGCTGGATAGCCTACTAATAAAACTTCCTTCCACAGAGACTTTGCATACTGTACAATGAAGTGTCTCTGTACCGTAAGAGCTCCAATATCCGCAGTGACCCCCTTTTTCCTAACTTTCCTCTCTTCTGTTGTCCCTCCTCGGTTCAGGGTGGACCCGATGCCCCATGACTCGCCCAAACCCCCCGGCTACACCCGCTTTGTGTGCATCTCCGACACTCACTCCCGCACCGACAGCATCCAGATGCCGTACGGAGACGTGTTTATCCACGCCGGAGACTTCACCGAGCTGGGACTGCCCTCTGAGGTCAAGAAGTTCAACGACTGGCTAGGTTAGCATCCATGTTGTTGCTCTGTGTCAAGGCCCCGCTTTCTGAAACTAGGTCCCTTTGTGACGGTTTATTAATTGATTAAGGTCAGTGCCAGGCTAAATATACTCACTCAGGCTGCTATGCTGTGAGAAAACTTTCAGAAACAGAAGATGCTTTTAAGTTTTCAGGATGTTAATCTACAATGCGCAGTTTTTACTGTTATTTAACACAACCCTGCCAGTGTTTTTTAGAACACTGTTTGCAAATCCACTTTACCGATGATCATTTTCATAAGCAAACAAACATTCCAAATAGATTTCAAGCTTACTGATGAGATTGTCTTCCTTGTTGAGTTTAAAGACAGTCCGAGAACATCTGAGAAAAGTCAGCGACACATTTTGTAAATGTAAAATGTATGTCTAAATGTTCTGACAACAAACACAAAGGAGAGAGAATGGAGTCTCTAAAAATATTTGTCTTCATATAACTGCACTTCCAGCCAATGAAACCTTTGGAAACATCACAAACATGACTGGATGTTCATTGTGATGGAAAAGAGGTATTTTCAGCTTTATCTTCTTTGCGTACATATGAGTTGAAACCAACAGCCTAAAAAAATCCTAATCAAAAGCTGATGCAGTGTTTTACAATACAGACCCCTGTATTGTAAAGAAGGCCTTTTATGTAAAGCTGTGTTGAACATGCAGAACCCATATGGTCCTTTTACTGTGATGTGGTGGTGGGGGGGAGTCTGGCTTGTGTTACGCTCCTCTCAGCTCTGACAGAGGCTGCAGGGAAGTCCGGGTTCATATCTGTGTAGTTTAACAATGACAGCGACCCTCTGTCTGGAACAAACCACTGAAACAAACCAGGCAGGGTGCAGGCTTTCAAAAGCCTAAAGGATAGAGTACATGAGCCTTGCATAGTTTTCAAATTGACGAATATCAAGCCACGTTTTTGACACTTAATTGACTTACATTCTCTAACTGCTTGTCTGTAAAGCCAGTTATCTTTGTTAAGAGCTTTTGATGCCTTATGAATAACCTTGCCTATGAGGGTTTGCGAAAATGTGTCATTTAGCTATGTCGACCCTGTTGAACCCTGTTTAGACGTCACTAGAAGCACACAAACTCTCTTTATTCTTGATATTTCTTTGCGCACATTTTTTAAACTTTTACTCATTAATCCATATACAATAAATAAAGGAGGTCTTAATCTTACTGTGATGAGATGTGTCTGCAAATTTGAAGGTTGCACGCCATTCTGAAGCTGATCAAAGTCTGCCTTACTTTGCTGGTATGTGCATGCATTTGGCATTTGTTGAGCATTGCGAGTAGTTGAATTGTAGCTGCCTTGCTCATGGTGAACAAACTATTTTTGTAATATGTCTGTACTTTCTCTGGTCTTCATCAGTGAATGGAGTTTGCTCGGTTGACATCCTTTTACTCAAATTTCCCTTAAATCAGGGGTGGCTGTAGTGCGGTTGTCTTTAAATTGTGGGTTCGATCCAAGCCCCTACAGTCAACATGTATCATTGGGCAAGATGCGTAACCCCGGGTTGCTCCTGATGGTGTGGCCATCGGTGTATGAATGTGTGTGAATGTTAGCTTCCAAGTGGCACCTTGCTCTGTATGAATGAGTTGTGAATGTTTGCTTGTAAATGTAAAAGTGTTTAAAGACTGGATAAAGTGCTATATAAATACAGTCCATTTACCAAACGTCTTTCTGCTTTACATGAAGGTTTTATAAAAAACAGATGTAGTTGAGGCTTTGCAAAATAACTGGTGAATGGACATAGATTTTTCGGAACGCTGTCCAGTTTATGTACGATGTTGGATTACTATAATGTGATTTTGCAAGCATTAAAGGTTTGCATATCAGGCATTTACTCATGTTTAAATGTGTCTGGTTGACACTATGGAGAGCAGGTTATTTCTTGTTCAGATTTCAGCGGTATATTCCCGAGCTGTTTTCCTTTGTCTGGCAGAGGAACTTTACCTAGCTCAGACTTTTCTGCCTCCCCTGGAAGCTTCTTATCTCTGTACTGAGTTGGGAAGTGTAAGTCTTATCATTGCTATACGTGATATCTGTTGGAAACCGGAATGAGGTGACCTCGTACGAAGCCGAGCGACAGGAAAACTGTTGAATCGCTGGATCTACAGCTGTCGAGTTAGCGTAGCAGCCGCGCTATCACCGCTATCATCGCCATTGTCATCGACGTCATCACCACGGGCACAAAGCTCTCCAGGAGCGGCGGAAGCATGTTGGCGGGCCTTTGTGTGTTCATCTCTTTCTCTAAAGGGAAGTGAACATATGGGGGGGAGATAAGAGGAGAACTTGTTGTCCTTCCCCTCCTCACACACACACACATCCAAGCTGCAGGGAGCACGAGCTGCAAATCCGCTAGCCCGCACTCCAGCGGCGAGAGAGGCAACGGGAGAGACGGGAAAGAAAAGATAAACCGAGCCAAACGTGCCTGCTGCTGCCTCTGAAGTCTCTCTCTTCATCCCTTCCTCCCTTCCTCCTCCTCTCCTCTGCCTCTCCACTTCCTCCTCCCTTGCAACTCTGCCAGCGCTTCCTCTTTCTCTTGCCTGCCCGTATAAATATTTATAATCTGCCTATTCCTATTCTTTCTCTCTTTCATTCCCTCCTGCTCCCCGTCTCTGTCACACACACACACACACACACACACACACACACACACACACACACACACACACACACACACACACACACACACACACACACACACACACACACACCGTCCAATTCTGTAGATGAGTGTAACTCCCGCTGTTTAGTATGTGCAGAGCAGATTTACAGAGAGATGGTATTCATTACAGAGAAGTTGGTCAGGTAACTCCCAAACTTCCTACCCTTTCATGGCATATCTCAATCTTTTTTAGTTTTGCGTATCTCCTTTAGTTTTCCTCTTTTAGTCCTTCCACAAACTCATTCCTCCACCTCTTCTCTTCTCTCTCTCAGCCCTCGGTGGCAGGTCTCTGCGATTCTTCCCCCGGCTCTTATTTTTAGCAGGAAGTCAGTCAGGCTCTCGGGGGCCGCTGGCAGCTGCTCAAGGCTTTGTCAGGAACGGTGAGCACTGCAGGAGAGGAGAGGAGAAGAGAGGAAAGAGGGAAAAGAGGGGAGGACTGGAGAGGCAGGAGATGGAATTCATGCAGGGAGAAAGGAAGTTTGAACATGATGGGGATGGCAGGGGGAGAGGAGGAGGAGGAAGAGGAGGAAGAAGAGTTCTCCCCAGAGGAGGGTTAGGTAAACTCACAGCTCCAGAGACTGATGCTAAACTTCTGACCTCTGTTGTCAAGGTGATTCGTGTGCGTGTGTGTGTGTGTGTGTGTGTGTGTGTGGTGTGTGTGTGTGTGTGTGTGTGTGTGTGTGTGTGTGTGTGTGTGTGTGTGTGTGTGTGTGTGTGTGTGTGTGTGTGTGTGTGTGTTTGTGTGTGTGTGTGTGTGTGTGTGTGTGTGTGTGTGTGTGTGTGTGTGTGTGTGTGTGTGTGTGTGGAACGTAGGTGTGAAGGACTTGAGTTTGAGACAACCTTAGTCTTGTTTGCGAAAAAAAATGTGGTTCTTACCAATATATTTAATTAATGGTAAATGGACTGTACTTATATAGTGCTTTATCCAGTCTTTAAGACCCCTCAAAGCACTTTACATACTACATGTCGTTCACCCATTCACACTCATTCATACAGAGCAGTGTATGTTACTCTACATTCATACACATTCACACACCGTTGGCCATGCCATCGGGAGCAACTCAGGGTTAAGTATCTTGCCCAAGGATACATCGACATGTTGACTGCATGGGCTGGGATCGAACCCATAACCTTCTGGTTGAAGGACGACCGCACTCCCTCGCAGCCACAGTCGCCCCCCCCAACTTAATGTTTGATTTAATTACTTAAAGATGGGGTATGTAATTTATTTCAGAAACACTTTTTGTTATATTCCATGGAATGCTCTTAACACTAGAACCGCCAACGGGTACATTTTACCCGCAGCTGTTTTTTGATTGTATGTAACTTTATTTCAATAAGATATTAAAGTCTCCCAGTCCGTGACTTTTCCTGAAAGTGTGTTATGTAGCACCCTCTGTTGTTAACAATTGTCAATATGAAGTCAGATTGAAAAAATCGCCAACAAAATGCCATTTATACCTATATCCGCCAGCGGGTAATATTTACCTCATAGACAATGCAGCGTAAACATGACGTGTTGCTATGTAGTGCTGTCGTCGACTTCAAAATATCGTCGACGACATATATCCGCGTCGACGCGTCGCTACACACACGTGGGTCACCCAAAGCAACAAGCAGTTCGCAATCGCACTTCAAACACAATGGAGACTGAAACGGCTACCACCTCCTCCTCACAGGATTGCGCACGAAGCCCCCAAACGAAAACATCTCGCCCTAGGTCTTCAAAAGCATGGGAATATTTTAAAGTTAGTCCAAAACGCAAAGATATTTATATCTCACTGAGACTGCTGCATAGCCTAGCAGAAGCAGCAGCTAGCTGTGGTGGCTACCATTAGCAGCTAGCATTTGCTCTCCGATTTTTACATAAAATGGAATTATGGATTATAAATTCAATCATTTTTTTATACATAGACGTTAAAAACCTATGGAGTAACCGATTCAGCCGCGTTTTTTCTCATTGTAATGCCATTGAACACGTCTTTTGATCAGATTGACAGCTACGGTGGTGAGACGATCTCCCTAGAAGCTCTGTGAAGGTACGTGTTGTGATGACTGTATTTGCTTCCCCTGTCGCGAGTCCGGATCACTCAGTGATGATACTATATACCTACATAATCTGTGGAGTCTCAGCTTTAATCGGATATATTGTATGCGCAGCTACGATACGTAATAAGGGTACTTTTATCTTGAGTTCTGTGCCAATGTCCGTTAGCATTTTTCGCTCAGGGGTCATTTAGATGCTTCTTATGAGATTTGTGTTTTGTTTTGGTAAACATGGTTTGTATCGTCAGTTAGCTGAGATTAT